TCGAAGTGCAAAGCGTTCCTCCAAGATTGGTCTGGACCGCCCTCCGACGCTGACCGTTTGTGGGGATCAGCTAGAAGTCGTTCAGAAATTCAACTACCTGGGAAGTTGTATCAGCGTCCGTGGGATTGAGGATGAGATCACGAACCGTATAGCAAAAGCTCGAGGCACTTTTGATAGCCTTCGCCACTTCTGGCGCCGGCGCGACATTACTCTCGCCCTGAAGGGTAGAGTGTACAATGCAACGGTAAGTTCGACCCTACTGTACGGTTGTGAAACCTGGCCGCTTAAAGCAGCGGACCTGAAGAGGCTAGTTACGTTCGACCACCGGTGCCTTCGTAATTTAGCTCACATCTGGTGGGAACACCGCGTGAGCAACGAGCGTGTTCGACGCCTTGTTTACAGTACAGGAAAAGGAACTGAACCGCTTAGCACCGTTAGTTCACGCACCAGGCTCCGATGACTCGGCCACGTGTTACGCATGCCAGCCCACCGACTCCCTCGACGTACGTTGTTTGCGCGCCGGGGGTGTGGATGGAAGAAGAGGAGGGGTGGCCAAGTGACGACTTGGTCCAAAGGAATGAAGGCCCTCACTTCTGATCTGGCCTCGGTTGGGGCGTCTCGACTCCCTGTTTGGGGTCCGAAAGACGATGAACACGTTTGGTTGGACACACTTGCTGACATAGCAAGGAGCCGACCTCAGTGGCATTCGAGCTGTGAGTTTCTTTGTCCCACCTCATCCCTCTTAGCCTCCCCCTCCAACTACGATCTCATTATTTAGCCTTATATAATTTTGCATTGTAATTTTTTTGATGCAAAGTTGCCGACTGGTAGCTTACCGAAACGATGCCCATCCGTTACCGGTAGCTCAGCCGGCTTGCATCAGTTGCTTTTTTTCTCCTTTTTTCTATGTATTGCGGCACAGTAGCTGAGGTGTTCCCCACCTTTGGCTAACGTGTGTGATGATGATGATGATGATTGGATCTCCGGGCTGCCGTTAGAATCCTTCGGGGTTTTCTCAGGGCGCGCAATGTGCAGCAATTTACTGTGCGTCCATGACAATCAGTAGATACATCCCGGCCACACGATATACAAGGGAAAATAGGGCGATCCGTCTGATCTCCACTGCCTCTAAGATACTCGCCTCTGTCGTTGTTTAAAAACTTGTTTGCATCGTGAAAGCCAAATTCGTGAGGAGCATGCTGTGTTTCCTCGAAGTCGCAGCTGCATTGTTCCCATCTTTACATTATGTCAGCTGTTGGAGCACCACCATATTTTTCGGCTATCCACTGTAGTTATCAAATTCTTCGATTCGGTGGATCGATGCGCCCTTTGTGGTTGTCTGTTCAAGAAAGGTGTGCCCGAAAATTACGTGAACATTATCAGAGCGCTTTGCGCAGTGTGAGGGATTATGGCAAGCATTCGCCACCCTTCAGTATCTCTAGCGGTTAGACAATGATGCCCGCTCTCTCCTTTCCTCTAACCGGCATCGACGTCGTCATAGAGCCTGCGTTCACTGAATACGACTCACAAGGTCTGGAGCTGCTCCCAGGTAATCGACTTCTTGACTTCGAGTACGCTGACAAGATTGACCTTATCTGTGACATTTACCAAACGCGGGAAGTTGTACTGGACATATTAGATTTGGTTGTCAGTCGTTCCGGGTTTTAACCCGCACCGTCTCAATACAAAGTTTTCACCCAATATTGACAGTAACCCACCTATGCGCTGACACTTAGTGTTAAACATCTAACAGTCGTCGAGAAATTCTAGTATTTATGCAGCCGATGAGATGTAAGATAAGATCATGAACCGTATTGTAAAAGCTCGAGGCGCTTTGCTAATCTCCGCCACCTGTGGCATCTCTCTCTCCGAATAGCAGAGTTTTCAATGCAGCCGTCCGTTCAGTCCTCCTGTACGGTTCATCAGATAGATAGACTTTGAGAGGCTAGTTTCGTTCGGTCACCGCTGCCTCTGCAACATTGTTCACATCTGGTGGGAGCATGGCATACACAATGAGCGTGTTCTCTGTCGTGCATTTGGTTCAGGAAAAGCGAATGAAGCGCTCAGCTTCGTTGTTTCACGCACCGAGATCTGATTGCCGGTCCACTTGTTGCACATCTCAGTCGGCCGGTGGCCGAGTGGTCTGCGTGCCTGGTTTGCAACCATAAAGTCACCGGTTCGAATCCGCGTAGGGGTGGGCGTCCTCGCGGTATATACTCAGCCCGCGCGCGACTGGCTGTGATGGCGTGGCAGCGAAGCGTCGTTATGGCGTTCAGCTGGCGGTTTATTTTTTGCACCGACTCCCTCGTCATGCGTTGCTTGGCGCCGGGGTATGGATATAAGGATAGGAGGGGAGGGCAAGCGATGACTTGGTCAAGATGGATGAAGGACCTCTCTTCGAACTTGACGTCGGTTAGTGTCTGCCGAATGTCTTGTTGGGGACCGGAGGCAAAAGGCATCTGCAGCACGCCTATACGCAGTGTCCATGTTTCACCACTGAGCAACCACCAGTTCCGCGTGGCCTATGGATACTGCGAAGGTCACCCGGTATCTCAGCGTGCTCAAACTCTCGCCGTATGATTACAAGGCAGGCTTGTGATCCTTAAGGCTACTGAGTGGCGGAGACCGAAGGAACATGAACACGTCTGGTTGAATACACTTTTTTGCATTGCAAGGATCCAACCTCAATGGCGTTTGTGTTGTGAGTTTTTTCCCTCCGCATCCTGCTTATCTTCCATCCTCCAACCACGATCTCTGTATCGAAGCGTAGTACGCTACTTTTTCTTTTCTTTTCTGTAATATTTGTTATCTCGCTTTTTCATCTATCTAGTACTGCGGCACAATAGTAATAGCATTTTTCCCACATTTAGCTTATATGTAATGATGATGATGATGCATGTGAGGCAGCTGTTTGCACATTAGGACTGTGAATGATTCATCATGGTTGGTTCATTGGCCGGTGATCAGCAAGTGCCTTTGGGCTGCCGAGGCAACTCAGTTTCCAGAGTCAACCGATTACGTCGTCACAGATCCTGTCCGGCTGCGTAGCCACTTGAGGATGTGTTCATTGATTCTAACAACCCAACTTCAGTCAGTGCGCCCAGTTTAACCGTCCGCATAGCTGCTCAACTCGACGAGACTTATGCTTATAGGGTCGATTAAGACACCGATGACGATGCGCTGCATGTACCTATACAAATCGAGCCGTATCTGTGGAGGCTGCTACGTTGGGCGCATTGATCAAAGTTTGCGTGACAGAATTAATGAACACATCCCCAACTGGTTACGCAGTCAGATGATATAAATATAAAAATATATATATATATATATATATATAAGACGTGGTTGGTTTCCGCTTGGCAAGCGTTCTCCATATAAAAGCCACACATGTCTGTTTAACAACATTGCGACGTGGCGGATGTGATCCGCCACTAAATAAGGTCACTGCCCCTTGCTTCCCTCCGGTGGAGTATTATACGCCAGCAATTTTCTGCTAAATTTGTGGTGATGATTGGTCCCTTGTTTGGTACTTGACCAAATGGAAGGCGTATGACCCGAGAAATCGGTCACCGGCTTCCAATGGGCGCGATTCCCTGAATTTGCTCTGCTGCTTTGTGAATAGGCTATTTAGCCAAAGGCTCGGGATGCAGTCCCCTAAGACAACTTGCTACTTCGGCCTAGGCAACAGGGTAATATCTCGCCTACTGACGATCCATAGAAACACGCTCTCGCTCTCACGATATTTTACGTTCCTTTTACTTCACTAGCTTTACAATCACACGTCACCCAATTACCTATCATCCATTAGTATTTTTTACCCACTTCATTACCTGATTTCTCGACAGTGAACAACTGTCTTCACTGGAGAATTCGTCCCAGCGATATTCGCTAACTTAGTCACACAGTGCTTCACATGGAACCATTAAACACATGGTCTTCTATCATCGCTTCTGCAACCTGGAACTCGGTTCAAGCTAGCAACACTAAATGTGCGCACTCTACTGCAAATCGGACAACAAGCTGAATTGGCGCGCTCCTTGAAAACTCTTGCAATTGACGTCTGCTGCCTGATTGAGATACGATTTTAGGACTCCAACACAGTCTGTCACCTGTTGTCACCAATCCAATTGCACATCCGTTTTCATCTCCACCTTTCTGGTGACGCTGTCTGCCGCTTTCTGGGCAAGCTGTTGTTGGGATTGCGCTCAGTGCTAGAGCCGAGGTCGCCCTCCTTGAATGGATTCCAATCAACAATTATCTCTATGCTTTTATACACCGTGGCTCCTACAACATTAGCAGGCATTAAACCGATAAGCGTGCTCTTTTTGTGATCATCGGCTATGCCCCCACTGACTGCAGCTCGGATGCAGTCAAGGACCCGTTCTATCAATGTCTTCATGATCTGCTCCTAAGAGCATCTAAAACTGACCCTGATTATGTCTATCAGATATGTGACGACGGAATCATTTGCATTGGGAAACCGGGCTGCTTCGGCACTCATTATGCACTTGTTGATTACCGCACGCTAAGTCAATCCTGATGAGTCGTTCATGGTCCTAATGCACGATCAGCGGCCCCACATGCCTAGGCTACTAAGGCCACCGTTATCGATCGCGAATACCCACTGCTCTGCATTCAAATTCGCCTGACTGTGGCTCCAAACCTACTTTGGTAGTGCAAGCGCTCGGGCATGTACGTTCTCTCATGACATTGTTTTGGTTTATTTATCAATGTATGTTTGTGTATGATAAGAACGCACGAACTGAGGCGTCATTTCACAAACCACGTCTTCTGATTTTCATGTGCTTCCTTTTTGAGACTGATGCCAGATTTCTTCCAGCTAGGTTTGTGCACATGTACTGCGAATTGGTCTCATCCGCGTACTATCAGCCTAACGACTTGACTGCTATTTGCCCTTGCTGATCTGGATTTTCATATATTTGTTTTCAGCTTCATTCGGTATCTCACCGCGGTGACCCGATTCTCGGACACTATGTCAGATGGCAACACCAGTGCTTTCCCGTGCACCGAGACCATCGACCATGGGAAAGTGTCCGAAAGGGCAGGTGAGCTTTCTTACTTTTCATTCAATGTTCAGAGTTATTCTACACCTTGAGTTCGTTACACAAAACGTTGATTTGTCTTCGTTGGAGTCTCGTTGTTCCGTCACGCAGTTTTCAGACTGTGTTAACCAAACACCGAATTTTAGCTTTTTTGGGCGCCCGTGGCGAGGGGCTCTTGAATGCATCAAGACACATCCATTTTATTTAATGTTTGTATAATTTTCGAACTACTTGGTTTGTCTGAACCCTCTCTTTGTTGTTCCACTACTTGCAGTGCCCTTTTGCCGACAGGGACTAATGACTAAGTAGCATCCCTTTCGAGTAACGACCTTTCACGCCTACTGGCTAGATGTTTCTTTTTCGTCTGTAATATGGAGTTAATCACAAGGTGTTAGCTTTACCGCAGTGATTATGATTCGTGGTGTCGGTTTCCGGTCATAGAATATTGTCTGTCCAATTGATCAAACTTCCCACCACAATTTCTCTGGATGTGTGCGTGTAGCACTAGTTCAAGTTCTTTCACTGTCCATTTGATTTCACTGGGTGGCATCTTTCTACAGCAGGGTTGATGGCTTACGATAAACTGTTGCCGCACTTCAATGTCACAAGCGGTGTGCGACAGGGATGCCAGCTGTCACCATTCCTTTTTAACTTTTCCGTCGATGAAGTCATGGAAACTGCGTTCACTGGACACGACTTGCAAGCTCTGGAGCTGCTCCCAGGTGGACGACTGATTGACTTGGACTACGCTGACGGCATTGCTCTTATCTGTGACAGCTTTCAAACGTGCCAAGTAGCACTGGCTGTCAGTCGCTTCGGGCTATATTTTGCATCCTCGAAGTGCAAACTCCTCCAAGATTGGCAGGGACCTACCCTTGCGCTGACCCTTTGTGACGATCAGCTACAAGTTGTAATTCAAGTATCTAGACAGTTATACCAGCGCCAATGGGATGGAGGATGATATCACAGACTGCATAGTAAAAACACGAGACGTTTTGCCAATGTCCGCCACCTGTGCCGCCGGCGCGACATCACTCCCCCTGAAGGGCAGAGTTTACAGTGCTGCTGTTCGTTCAAACCTACTTTATGGTTGCGAAACCTGGACCATCAAGTTGACCGACATAAAGAAACTAGTCACGTTCGATCATCGCTGTCTTCGCAGCTTAGCTAATGTTTAGTGGGGACAACGCGTGAGCAATAAATGTGTTCGGCGTCGTGTATTTGGTGCAGGAAGAGCGAGTGAACCTCTCAGCACCATTATATCACGCACCAGGCTCCGATGGCCTGGGCATGTGTCGTGCATGCTAGCATACTGATTCCCGCGACATGCGTTGTTTGCGCACCGCGGGTGTTTATGGAATAGCAGGAGCGTTTCTCACCTTCAGCTATTGCGTAATGATGATGATGCAAGCCCCCAGACCGCTCATCTCCCACTAGTTATTGGCTGCAGCTCGCGCAAACTCAGCCATAGTATTCTTCTCACCCAGTGTTATCTAACCTTCGGTGACCGTTTCCTTTTGCAATTTAGTCAGGATGCAACAGTATGTGAGTCAAATTCACAATTACTTTGTCACAGAACGGAAGTACCGCTAGTTGTCTCTGCCGCCCGACGACCGTTACCTTCGCTCGCAGATTGGATACCCCCCCAAGTTACACACCCGCCAGGGTTCATTTGAACTTAGGGTACTCACAAGTGTGTACTGTTGTACTATTGGAAAATACGCCTGAGCTGTTCTGAACCTTCCGCCGCTACACGTGCTAAACCTCTAATGGACCCCAAACGGGCTTTGCAGTGCATTCTGGATCTGAACCTGCTCCACAATACCCTATAAGACTGTTGGTCGAAGGTACGGACAAACCTCTTTGACCCCACTGACTTTTTGTTCAGGCAACTGAGTCAAAGGCTTGAGGTGGGAAACTCCACTTCCTTGGGTTTGATAACTGTGATATTCTACGTCCCTATAGCCTATCCCTAGTAATCTTTTCCACAGCTTTCCTTCCCTTTCTACTCCTCTCTTCAAATTGTGCAAGACCACTTGCGTGAGCGGCCGCACCAACAAAGAAGTCATGTGCTCTTTCCAGGCTGGTGGGACACCTTACTCTGAGTCTTCTAACGTTCGCATACCTTCAAACCACTTCATGGTTGGTCACTGACGCGATCGCTCAACCGGATGCTGTATTGGTGTCCGAACCCTATTCAATTCAAATTCTATGCCAATTCAAATGTAGCATTTGTTTTCTTGATACTTCTATTCGATTTCTTCAATTCTATTGAATCAACATATTTTCATCCGCAACACTTCAGCAGCGCTCGCTTATTAAAACGATATCTTGGACCCAAGTTAGCCACGTTACCATCAACTGCGGATGACGCTCATTGTTCCAGGGTTGTCCACCAATCTGGAACAGTCACCGCTTCCGACTATTCTGCTGTATGCAACTGACATCAACGCAGTATATAACTTCGAGGGTTATTGCTCGTCACATCACTTGGTGGTTCACCCACTAACTCTACCATTTGTTAGTAGATCATCAACAACTGCGGAATAATGCGGGCACATCGAATGAACATACACCAAACTTCTTAATTCGTAATTTTGGATAAGTATCTATTGAAAATCGGTTTTACAAAACCAAATTTTGTTCTAGACCTTTCCATAATTATGGATTCCCAGCCGGCTCTAAGTTTATTCCAAGCTACTGCATCTCGGTGTCCATTTGCGTTACTGGCTTCATTACTCCCAGTAGTATGTGTTTGTGCGATGAGTGTTAATGCAGTTGAATGGCGAATTATGCTTCATTCGGGTCGTTGGTTTCTAGGCTGTAACAACCCTTTAAGGAGGGGGCTGCTTAGTCCTCGAGACACATTAGGCACATTGATGACCGACAAACATTCATGGAATGCAGTGAGCTTACTTAGTAGGCGATGCTTCGGTATTGTTCAAACTAGTTCGGACCATAAATTCTGTAAAATCTTCTAACGAAAGCGTGGACGAGAAAGATGAGCATCACCTACTATAATCTTGTACGGAACCTTTTCTCTAGTTATTACATTTTTCCCCACGGCTACTGAGGTCACCAGAAACCATGTGATTGGCTGATACAAAATTGCATCTGTTGAAACTTACAACTGCACTTTTATTAGATAACAATTCTCCACCCTTCATTCTTTTCCGCCTTTTTCTCTAACTCCCCTCCCAACTCCCGTTATTAGCCTTCCCTCTACATTTCCTAGTTTAACTGACAGTAGCCGCTATGCAACCGCAATTCCACCGGCTGCAGCTATCTTCCCACACCACCCACTGGACTCCAATCGACAATAGTCACTTAGAAAGCCACGTTGTCCCGTTTCGTTGGTGGCGTCCAACGTTCGCAAATAGGTCAACAGACTGCACTCACACGCACGTTGGGCACACTGGGTTTTGACGTGTGTTGTGTGTCCGAAACTAGGGTCAATGACCCCTATGGGGCTATTGAATTAACTGCGCCCGGCTTGTCCTCTCCCTATTGGTTGCACGCATTCTGCGACGCTGATGCGGCACGTACTGGTCAAGCTGCGGTGGGCATCGTTCTCAGCTCGAAGGCTGAGTCATCGTTGTTTGACTGGATTCCGGTGAACAGCCATTTGTGTGCAGCCCGTTTGATGACATCAAGTAAGATTGATTCACGAAGTAGTACAACACGCTGTTTGTTTATGGTTTATGCTTATCCTCCCACCGACTGCACTTTTGATGCTACTAAGGATACCTTCTACCACGAACTGAACATGCTACTAGGCAGTGCTACCGATTCAACTATCACAGTAATTTCAAGAGATGTGAATGCACAGATAGATTGCCTGGGCTCTTCAGAAACTCATCTAGATTGTAATAATGGACTTAAATCCAACCGGACGGACAACGCCCAGCGTCTGTTGCAATTGTGCGCGGAACACCGGCTGTTTCTTAGTAGCACCGCTTTTGGACACAGTGGACGCCGAAGTGCCATTTGGTGTCCTCCTGTAGCTGACCAGCGATGGACCCAGAGAGCTCACATTATCACAAGTGCATTGACCTCTGTTCGAACACGTCTGGAGGGAAGAGGCCATCCCGGCTAACTGGAGTCGATTATAGTGGCAATCTACCAGCAGTGTGGTCGCACCGACTGCTAACCACACGGGTATTAGCCTAACACCGGTGGTGATAAAATTACTGGCCTCAATTCTCGTTCGACGCTTCACTGCGCAGCGGGAATCCCGAATTGGGGTAGCGCAAGCAGGTTTCCGCCTAAGACGGGGCTGTATAGACCACACATTCACTCTGCGTCAGTTGTTAGTGCAGCGCCACATATACCACTGACTGACAATAGCTGTTCCTCGACTTCAAGAGTGCGTTCACTTCCGTCGGTCGATGCACTTTGTTCGAAACACTTGTGTGAATAGGTTTTTGCATGAAATGTGTGAGCTGTTTACGTGCTCTGTACTCAAACACCACAGACCGTGGCAACATCTACGGTGACATGTCAGATGCCTTTCCAACAACAAATAGCATTCGTCAGGGTTGCTTAATTTCTCCATTTTTGTTCACTTTCCTCGTGAACACTGTCACTAACTTTTCCCTTGCGCATCCTCGCAATGCAAGTGTTTTAGTGCTGCCTGGTGAAAGGCTAGTTGTTCTTGATTTTGCTGACGATATTGTCTTGCTGTTTAACGCTGTTGGGGCGGCGCAGTCAGCTCTGGCATGCGCTTCATACCTTCAAAGTGCAGTGTTGTTGCATGACTACTTCTTCGTTTATAGCGATGGACTCGAAGTAGTTGGTCAATTCACTTAACTTGACAGCTGCATAAACAACGTTTGGTGCATGAGTGCTAAAGTCATTTCATAGATTACAAAGGTCAGAACTACCTACTTGAATCTGCGACATCTGTGGCGACAAAAAAGAGTCTGAATGGCTCTGTTTACAAGGCCAAAACTATGACCATCCTATTCTATAACAGTGAGACTTGTCCCTCAATCTGAGAACCT